ATCATTCTCCAATTATTTTCACAAAACTTATCCATGCCCGTACAGGATAAAATAAATTATTAGGGAGGCATTAGCCCTCCAAAACTAAGTAGTTACTTTTTCTTTTCCTTGCCTCAAGGTTTTTTATTAGAAATATATTTAGAACGGTGGTAGGCTGACATACATAATGATGTATTTTAGTATCTTAATATTAATTATGTAACATCGCAATTACTCTATTAATAAAGATCACAAAAAATGCCTTGCTTAACATTTAAAAAAAAAAAAATTCTATTAGATATTTCTTATAAAAATTATACAAAATAAATATTGTTAAAGGAATAATTAATTATACAAAAGAATAAATAAATAAATAAAGATAATTGGATATATTGAGTCTATTGGATATAATAAGTATATCAAGTATATTAAGTATATTAGGTATATTAAATATATTAAATATATCAGGTATATTAAGTATATCAAGTATATTAAGTATATAGTAAAAAAGTATAAAAGTAACAAGTAAAGCAATTAAGAAAAGAGTGGGTTACATTCAATAAACTATAATAAATTAACAGATCAATATTATATACTCAACCAAAAACATATTTGTCTATTTCAAAGCAAATTGATTTAACAACTATTATTTAATGTAGATTAGACCAAAGTGACAAACTTGTCATATTACATTACAACAATATAAAATTATTTATATTAATACTTGACAATAAGCTATATGATATAATTCTCTTTAGTAAATTTCATTAATAGTTAGATAAATAAATTTGTATGAAATAAATTTGTATATACTTGCAAATGACATCTAATAAACAAGGTATAAACCACCTGTTATAAAAAATATATATTTTACAATTGACTTTAATAATAATTTTTTAGATATTTAAATTATCTAATAAGCATATTTATGATTTTTGTTAAATAACATTTATAAGAACAATTGCTTCTATGTTATGAATATTCTTTAATTTATTTAATATTTTTAAATATTATTTATTAAATATAATCAATATTTAATTTATTATAATGATAATATTATATTTAATTTATTATAATGATAATATTATATTTAATTTATTATAATGATAATATTATATTTAATTCTATAAAATAATTTAATTAATTTATGCTTATCTTCAAGTAATATTTTACTTATAATACTGCATATATTGTAATCGTAAAACCATACCGTAATACGAAGGTATTGAAAAAGGAAATCTCCAAACCTGGAAAGTTTGTTTAGGTAAGCGTAAGACCGTAAATCACTGAAATTAAAGTTCTTAGCTAAGCGAATCATTTGTCACATTCTTTACCAACAAATCAGCCGTAATTTAATAATGTAAAAGATAGTAATTTCTTGTCAACGTGAAGTTAATCTTGCACCAAAAATTATATCATAGAACTTAAGTCGCGACTAATTACTCATTGTATTATAATTAAAATTTTATACAGTATGTAATTTAATCTCTGGTCAATATAATAAATAAAAAATAATAACTTGATTTTATTTTATCTATTTACTTTAAAATATTTTTAGAAGAATAAAAAAGAAATCAGGAATGCAAAATTTTATTAAAGAATGCCATTCCTGACATATAAGTCTAAGTTAATATGAACTTTGAGTCGTTGAAATAACATAAAAGAATTCATCTATCCGGCAGACCTTGTTAAATTGATTAAAAACTTTTAATGACTATATATATTATTATGTTACTACGGCATAAAAAAAAAGTGTTATAGAATTACATTTTAAAAATTTTAACAATATAATAAGATGAGTTGCTCTATTTTTTTTTGCAAGCTGGGATCTATTCATCATATTTTACCTTCACAAGTATTAATGATTACGTCAAATAAGATAATTCTGGAAAATAAAAAGTCAAATAAAATATATAAAATTAACAGTTGGCAGATACAATACAGCTTATTGAAATTTGACCCGAGTTTTCTGATTGGATAAATAGGTCAAGCATAAAAGGGAAAAAGCAAGCTTATTAAATAAATAGCTATGAAACTAGGAGAAAAAAAAAGATAATCGATGTCTCTAAATGGTGCTTATGAAAAAACCAACATTCTTTGTAAAAGAACTTAAGAAAATTTCACGAATGGATGTAGAGTTAAATATTTTCCTTTTTACGTCCGTAAACTCGTCTCATATCATGATAACTGTCATTATCCTCCATCTCTTTGGAAAATTGGACGATTATTTCATCAAACTTTTCAGAGCTTACTTCTAAAATTGACAAAAGAAAGGGTTTTAAGTTGGAAATTACGCATTTGATATTATCGACAGCCTATAATTTAAATTCGTCAATCAGTACAGTAATCGAGATAAGTGACATAATTTTTACGTAAAACGAGATGATCATTACCGCTTTTCCTAATTTTCCATCTTTGGTTTTATAACGCAACTCGTTTTTTTCCTCATTTATATCTTCGAGCCGTTCGTCTCGCTCAAATAACGCTTGTAGCTTATAGCATATGTTTTCATCAAGATTTCTAGCAGCATGTAATTTATCAACTATACGCATGCACATAATAGTTAATAACCAAGTTTGTGGATTTTCCAACGTTCGCAAATTAATGTATCTTACCGGCATCAAAAAGTTTAGTGGAAACAGGCCCCAATTGGAGTGGAATTGGACAGACTTCCGATATCTTAAAAAGAGCAGCATTTTAGATAAACATATAATTGTTAAATAAAAAATTTTTTTAACTCAAATCAATATAATCAATACCTCCAAGTAACCACCGGGCTTTAAGACTCTAATTAATTCTTTGATGACATTAGGCCAACTGTCCAAAGGAATCGCACCAAACATTAACCGTTGAAACACGAAGTCAAAGGTATTATCTTTAAATGGCAATCCGGCTATGACATCCGCATAAATAACGGAAACGTTTGTAGGTTTGATTTCAGTAGGTTGAATAGGAGAGATATCGACTCCTGTGATTTCTGCTTTTGGATAATTTGTTGCCATATCAAACATCCAGGAACCTGCACCGCAACTTTTCCAAAATAAAAATCAATTACTTTATTCATAATTTATAAGATATTCGCATAGATTTTTTTTTGTTATCTATCTTACCCAACATCAAGAACCTTTGATCCATCTCTATCCAAGGCATGGTCAACGGGTGCAAAGAAATTGCTATTGTAAATATGTCTAATTAAGAAATGTTGTAAATGTAATCGATCTAATTCATCGTAATCGTTTGGAAGGTAATATCGTGAACTCTCAACGTTATGATATCTCCTTCCATCAATATATCGAAAATTAGACGGTGTGGTCGTTTGCTCCATTGATTTAGTATTTTTTTTATTTTGTTTCTTAACTGAATTTCCCATGTTTTCTATTCTTATGTACTGTATGTTTATAAAAAAAATTATGTTCAATAACGATTCGTGGATTTATATATAGCGTAGTACCTTAACCACCTCTCAAATATTTAAATTACAAATTTTTCCTGAAACATAAGATTTACCGCTTCCCGTGCATCTTTTTCAGGGACTAATCCGAGTTGTAGTTATCTGTACTTTTATTGAATTCGTGTGCATGCATGCATGCATATATGATTTCGGATGATCGAAAGTTAGCGATGTACTATGTCTACTGTTTATTGTTAATTACAGTATATGCGCATAATTTCGTAAAAATGAAATCACAGATGTCGAAGCTACTCGGCCTAACGGTTATGGCCGATGGCTAATGATTGACGACGACACCTCCGTTATTTCTAATTTCCACATCGAGGTTATAAACAAAAATTTCGATTGTCACTACTATCAACTCATGTACAATGTACTGTAAATAGTATCAATTAAGGATTTCCAAACCCGGTGAACAAATTCGAGTGATTAGGTATGATCTTCGTTTTTCTGAATACTGCACAGTAAACGACAAAAAATCATTAGTCATTGGAAATTTGACTTTCGAATAATATATTAAAGTTTTACCCCTTTCTCTTCATGTCAATAATCACATAAAAACATGCTTATCTTTGCTAATCGGTCCAGTAAAGATGATCAAAGTACTGTATATAAAGTAGTGAGAATAAATAGAACTAGGAAGGATACAGTTGTGCGTCCGGAGCATATCTTAAAGTAAATACAAAAAAAATGCTTTTATATAATTTTCAATTCTTTAACATCACCTTATTTTTAATTAACAATTTAATATTAACGGATTAGTATTAAAGCATCATTTATATTATTAGTATTAAAGCATCATTTATGTTATTAGTATTAAAGCATCATTTATATTATTCGTATTAAAGCATCATTTATATTATTCGTATTAAGGCGTCATTTATATTATTAGTATTATGACACGTGTCTTTTTAATGTGTTCTTTAATATTTCCAACTTGTATATAAGCGTGCTAGATTTATCTGCAATTGAAAACACTCGTGAAATATATTTCTAACGATTTTCCTTGAGACAGATATAACAGATATAACGGATATAACGGATATAACGGACATAATTAAGTTGTTGACCTTATCTCCTAAAAATTATGTCTTTCGCATAGATCCGGACAATAAACCATAAAGTCTCTGAAAATAAATCAGGAGCGATTTAGGGCCCACACGGCAAATCCAGACTTGGCCAGGACTTTCCGCCGGTCCGATTAATATCCCTGATGATATCGTATGATGTGAATACTTTACGCACGAATACATGTTAATATCCCTGAGGATATCGTATGATGTGAATATTTTACACAAATACATTTGAATTTCAGGTTAATATTATTCTCGCCGTTTTTCTTTATAATTATAATAAGATTAACGCATATGTTTATTAAAGATAATTTATTTTTGACAAAGAAAAAAACATTCATTACATAAATAAAAAGTATAATGTACATGGGGATGCTAAGTGGTTCGACGGAACTAGTCTAACCCAGTTTGAAACCTAAACTGTCTGTTTGGATCGAACTAATCAAATCGGTTAGTGTATATTATCTCGGAAACGTGACGATACAAATGTCACGTGAAATACGCGTCTTAGTTATATAACGAATCCCAACAACAAAAGACAGTTATGGATTTATGATAGTAACCTTATTCGCTTTTTCTATTCTCTGGACTGAATGGATGGGAAATTAAGGTATGATTGAGGATTACTATGTAGCTATAAGAGTATCTGCAATTACACTTCTATTAAGGCATACTCGAGAAAGAAATTCGTGATATCCTTCAATAAGGGAATCAAAAATAAAACAAATTATGATGCCAGTGAGATAAATTAAAATTCTTATGAATAGAAAAATAATTAAAGGTACCAACTTTTTATCACCCATTAGGTCATATCTAAAATGTAATTCGCGATATCATGCTTCTATAAAAGAAGATAAAAATGGAAAAACAATTAAAATATATCAACTTTTCATTACCTTCTATTAGGATACATATAAAATGATATTTACAACATCATTCTTTCCTAAGAGAACCAAATTTGTGACATCAGGACATCAGGAAAATAAATTAATATTTTTAAAAATAACTGAATAAGAAATGATCGAAATCTTTTTTAAAAACACATATATTTACCCATGTCTCAATACTATATATCTAAAAGAATCGACTATTATCTTATATTTTTCAAGAATTGTTATGCTGTATATTATTAAATATTATTTTTACTTTAAGAAAAAAAAAATAAAGATAAAGCTAGTAACAGAAAGATATTAAGTTGAAATAATCAAATGTAATATGTTTATAAGAAAAATTAAATATATTAGTATAAATTAATGAAATAAAATATATCAGCTGGATTAATTATAATAACATTATATACTTATAGTAAATGCAGATAAATAATTTGGATATGTGAAATAATAATAAAATGAAAAAAATTATAGAGAAAATACCAATAGCAAAAATAATAAGATAAAGATATAAATTAATAATAAAAATATCATTTTAGAATTAAAATATTAAAAAAATAAATAAATAATAAAATTAAATAAGAGTTTAAAAAAATCATAAATAAAAAACAAATACAACAATATGCAATACATATACAGAGGGTACTCAAAAGTTATTGAACAAATCTTAAAAATTTATATCCAGCTGTATATATAGAATTAAAAAAAAATTTTTTTATGCAATAATTACTGAAATATTAAAAATTTTAAAAAAGTTTAAAAAATTACTCAAACTGAAAATAAAAATCACTTGAGAAATCAAATTAAAGTAACTTATTTAACTTTTTTTTTATATAATTCAGTATTTAGTAGGACCCCCTTTAGCTGCGATGCATGCTTTTATACGTTGTGGCATACAGTCTATTATCCATTAACAAAGTTGACATAGTATATTTTTCCAAGCTTGCAGAACAAAACGATCAAGTTCTGCAAGATCACTTGGTTTTATTTCATATCGCCATACTGAGTTTTTTACCTTGTGCCACAAGTTCTCTATTGAGTTCAAATCAGGACTTTACGTGAGCCAGTTCAAAATTCAAATCCTATGGTCAACAAAAAAATTATTAGTGATCTTTGCCATATATGGTCTTGCATTATCTTGTATGGAGTACAGGTGACCACAATCATCAATAAAAGAAAAATGATCAAAAATCGGAATAAGATGTTCTTGAAGTGTATTAATATATGAAGATGCCTTTACAGAGTCGTCAAAGAGGATAAGGAGACCAACATCATATCAAGAAAAACAACCCCAGTATATTCAACTTGGATTATGCTTAATGATGCTGGTTAAATATTCAATTTTCCATTCTTTTTGTGGCTCGCGCCATATCTGACAGCAGAATCCCTGTTGAAAAAGGAATATTGTGGACTCGTCAGATCAGAGCACATGTCAAAAATACCGAATGGTCCAGTTTTCATACACCAGATATCAATTGAGCCAGTTTTCTGAATTGACTTCGGAAATGAATGGCTTTAAGTAAGCGACATGACATCTCAAATTCAATTTATAGAGAGCATGATGAACTGTATTCGTAAAAACATTAATCTTTGTCCAATTTGTAAAAATATTGATAAGTTGAGAAGCACATAAACAACAGTTTTTTTTAGTAATTTTTTTTAGGATAGCTTGGAAAGAAGAATTAATTAGTGGTAAGCAGCCGGTTATTACATCTTGTAGTTCAGCAGAGCTGGTTTTTAAGAATCTTTTGATAGTAACACCAATAGCTAATTTCAAACAGCCGACTTGTTTTGCGATATCACAGTATGGCTTTTTTTTTTATAGTGGCAAATAATCGTGTCCCTTTGTACTGATGTTAATTGAATTTTTTTGTCCATTATCTTTAAAAAAATAATTCTTGTTTTGTAAGTTTATTATTTATGTAATAAAGTTATTTATATAAAATAACGTATTATTTGCGTGATAAATAAGTTGATATAAATAAATAATTTAATTTAAAAAAAAAAAAATCAAAAAATCAAAAAATCAAAAATACTTTTCAGTTTGGCAAAAATATTCAATTTTTTTAAAAACTTTAATATTTAAATAACTACTGCATAAAAAAATTTTTTTTTTAATAAAACATTTGACATTCAAAAAAAAATAAAATAAAATATATATTTTTTTAATTCTATATATATAGCTAGGTATAAATTTTTAAAGTTTGTTCAATGACTTTTGAGTACCCTCTGTATATTAATACAACTGCAAGTAATACAAATTATATAATATTAATAGTTAC